TGTCCCTCCCAAAGCTTTCCCAGTGTGAAGGCTCACAGCTCACTGCCACTCACAGATTTATTTCTGCCAAAAGGGGTGGGGGCATACTGGGCCATCACCACTCCTCTTTGCTCCCCTCTGAGCCCTCCGTCCCTCCTCCACGCCATGGGGCCGAGTGCTCCGCAACAGGGGCAGGGGGCTGAAGTGGGGGAGAGCTCCCTGGTGGGGTGTGATGGGCACATGGGAATGGATCCTCAGCCCTCTGAGTCGGGGCAGACCCCCTGGGGGCTGCCTTGGCCGCATCTCCGCAGCATACGGGGGGGGGCCTGTCCTCTGCTGCAGCCAGGGAGCAGCGAGGGCGGCGTGGTCTGCGCAGGGAGCTGCCTTCCACCTCCAGCTTCAGCCCCACGTAGTGCACAGTGGGCACGGCTGCCTGTAGGGGGGGGGGAATGTGGGGAGCACAGGGCTGTGCCATCCTCCCCACAACCCCCTACCCCCCCTCAGCTCCCCGCCCCACCTGCTTGTAGATGAGCTCAAAGGCTCCTGTGGGGCACTCGGGGTCGTCCCGGCGGTCGATGACAACTCTCAGTGTGTCACGCTGCACCCCAGCACACAGCCGGCTCGTCACCGCCGTGCTGGCCTCCATGGTGGGGCTGGCATTGATCTCCAGCAGCCAGGGCCGGAAATCCTCACCGAAAATGAAATCGGCCCCATAGAGTTCAAAGCTGCCCTTACGGCCCCGCACCAAACCCTGCGAGCACCTCACCGCCCGCACCACCGCCGCCTTCATACCCGGCACCATCACCTCGGCCCAGGCACCGGCTTGGCCCCGCTGCGCCAGGTACGCCTGCAGCTGGCGGCACGACCACGTGTTGTCTGCTGGCAGCTGCGGGTGTCGGGACAGCCCCAGGCGGCAGTGCCGCTGCACTGCTTGGTTGCAGAGGTGGACGGCCCTGAGGGGGGAGAGGAAGCAGCCTTCAGTTGGGTATTAGGAAAAATTTTGTGGCAGAATGAGCAGTGAGGCATTGGTACAGGCTGCCCAGGAAGCAGTGGGTCATCATCCTTGGAGGTGATCAAGGATTGCTTATGTGTGGCACTGAGGGACGTGGCTATGGGCACGGCGGTGGGCTGGGGTGGGAATTGACGTCTGTGAGAGAGCGGGGGGAGGGAGGGACATACAGAGCACGGAACTGCACTCACGCATCCAAGCAGTGCAGGGAGAATGGCTGTGAGCAGAAGCGCAGGTAGCACTCGCGGTAGAACCAGATGGTCAGCGGGTTCCAGTCGGTCACCAGGAACCACTGCCGCACGTCGAACTTGGTGCCGAAGATGAGCAGCGGCCGCTCCACGTATTTCTGCACCACCCAGCGGCCCTCCCGCCCCATGCTGCCCGCCAGCTGCAGCAACTGGTCCAGCCGCGCCACGCACACGATGCCTGCGGATGTGGCAGCACCGTAGGGACCCCATGGCGCGTGGGGACCCCCGGACCACCCCTGGTCCTACCTCTGCCCCGGGACGCAGCCCCGGGTTTGAGGATCCAGACGTTGTGCTCGCCCTCCATGTGCAGTTGGGGCAGCTGCTTCGCCAGGCCCTGTAGCAGGCTGTGGCCCTGTTCCTGCTGTGCCGTGCTCAGCTGCAGCACGGCCCCCTCGCTGAGATATGGGGTGGCTCAGCCACTGCCTTTCCACCCTTCCCCACCCCTCTGCCGGCACTCACTGCACCACGCGGTAGTAGCCCTGCAGGAAGCTGTCCCAGTTGGGGCTGTGGGGCTGTGTGTCCCCATCGATGTCCTGGTGGGCCATACTGTCCAGGTGCCCCCTGCACACCTGCAGCGCCTCCTCCATCAGCTGTGGGGGCAATGGCGGGGCTGGCCCCTCTGCTAGGAGGGTAGCACAGAGTGAGGGATGGAGCACTGCGCCATGCCTGGGGTGGGGGGCTCGGCACCTCACCTGGAGCATCACTGGGTTTTGGGGATGGCTCCAGTGCTATATGCTCACCCTCAGCCCTTCCCAGGGCCGCTTTGAGCAGGCAGCGTGCAGCAGTGAGGCGGAAATCCTCTGCAGTAAGAGAAGAGGCATTGCCCAGCCCAAAGCCACGCTAGGAACTGTGTGCCCATCCCACATCGGCCCCAAGCTCACCAATGAAGGCCTGGCGCTCATCCGCAGAACCCAGCCGGTAGCAGCGAGGGAAGAAGGTATCGGGGTCGGCTTGGTCGAACCAGGGCAGGTTGCGCAGGGTGAGGCACAGCCCCTCCTGTGTGGAGAAGGATGGCAGCCCTGGCGTGCACCCTGTGCCCCCCCAGGGAAGGTCCCTGTGCCCCCACCTTGGTGGTAAGGCAGCCCCCTCGGGCATAGTGGTTCACCACCTGGTCCGGCCGCAGGATGCCTCTCTCTGCAGCACTGCAGCGGCTGCTCCAGATGAAGTAAGGCACCTGGTCCTGCACCAGGCGGGACTGGGGGGGCAAGGGCCTGAGTGAGGTGGGACCCCACCCCACATAGTCACCCCTACCCCACTGAGGGATCCCCCTGCATCATGTTGGGGTCTGCAGCCTTCCTTGCTACCATGAGCTCATGGATGCCATCAGGGTTGTCCTTGTCCGTCTGCTCTTCCTTCTCCTCCTCCTCCTCCTCTTCCTCCTCCTCCTCGTTGGGCAGCCACATGGAGCACGGGGACTCCAGGGATGGCTGCACCCCACGCTGTTCTGTGCTGAGCTCGGCATTGCCGCCATCTGCCTCTTGCTGCTGCACCCTGCGGTGTGCTTTTCTCTCCACCCAGCCCCGTGCGCGCAGCAGGTGGCGGATCACAGGGTAGCGGCCCTGCACCGTGAAGATCTTCTTCTCCTGGGTGGGGAGATGCCGTGGCTAAGCTGCCCACCCCGGGGAGCTCAGCCTTTGTGCCAGTTGAAAATGGGTGACGCTCTGGAGAAGGAGCAGGCCCTCACCTTGATAGCCCTCTCCACCTGCAGCTTGGCCAGCTTCAGCTGCTTGGGGCAGAGCCAGGGGCGGCTGCAGTCTGCAAGAGTCCAGAGGCCCGTGGGACAGACTCAGATGAGCTCCTTTCAGAGAGCATACACCCTCGTGTTCCCTTGTTCCTGAAGGGCAGGGAGCAGGCACCCACCTGCCCGCACTCTCTGCACCTTGCCAGGTGCCCCTGCCGCAGCATTTGCCACCTTTTCAATCTTCATGCCAGCACCACAGCCTCGCAGCGTTCCCCCCAGGAACTCCCCTCACCAGGCTGTGTGTGCCCACGGTCCTGCTCTCGAGTGGGTGAGTATGGGGCAACCTGGGGGTGAGGGAGGCTGCTAGCAGCTCTGCCTCTCTCCATGCAGCGCAGGGGATCCTCCTGCACTGTATCCTCACCCAATGGGGATGCAGGGGGCTTCCAGCAGCCCTAAGCCCTACATCCTCTCCTGCGGTCCCACACCAGCTACTCCCCCATCACCTGAACCTGCGCCACCCCCAATCGCTTCCCGCAGGCCGCTCTGTGCTCCATCCTGCCCAGCACCCACCCGGCCCACACCCACTCCTTCCAGCACCGGCGGGGCTGCCACCACTGTTTACTGTTGCCGTGGTGCCGCTCCGGGCCCCGCCCCCTTCTGCCCTAGATCCCCGCCCCCCGGCATTCCCTCCCCTTCCCTCCCCCAGCAATACAGCAGGGAGCCGGGGCGTACAGCAAGTAACTCTTTATAAAACACAATGCGACAGGACAGGGAGCGGGGCCGCCTGGCCCCGCGTGCGCACAAGCCCGGTCCGCCCCCGCCCCGGCCAGCGAGGAGACGGGTTTGCAGCCAGGGGCCCAGCTTTCCTTCTCCAGAGCAGGAGAGCCCCGGCATGCGGCTCTGCACAGGCACCGGGAAGCCACGGAGTCACGGCACGGCCTAGAACTGCAAGGCAAGACAGAGGGCAGGTGCCCATCAGCACTGGAACGTTCCACGCTACATCTCCCGGCTCTGCCCACCCTCAGCCCACTTGAAGGGTCTCAACACCAGTGGAAAATGCTTACAGGCACTCCCCCACATGTCCCAAGATGGGTACAAACTGCACCAAAGCTCTGCCACCCCCCAGCCATGTGGGGGAGGCTTCTGTCTCTGAGGGCCATGCTCCACTGCTAAGAGAAGGAACATTCACAGAGCCTTACGTTCTTGAGAAATTCCTCTGCCACGATGCGGGCCCTGGCATTGACAGAGAGCTTCATCTCACTGATCTCCTTGTCGATCTCCTCCATGAAATGGATCACAAAATCCACAAGCTTGTGCTTGTACATCTGCTCCGTGTGGAAGTTAGTGATTAGGAAGCTGATGTCGTAGCCCTGAGGAAGAGAGGAGCAGTATGACAGCTACGAGAGCACAGCACAGTGACAGCACAGCCCAGATCTGCAGTGCAGGCCCAAGGAAGCAGAGCTGGGAGCTGCTCTGCTGCCACCCCCTCACCTCCACGGGCTTCCTGCGAAGGATGAAGAAGTTCTCAGCCCTCATCATCATGAAGCGCATGAATTTGTGGCACAGGATCTTCTCGATCTCATCGGCCTGCAGAGAGGAAAGGGAAATTAGGCTTCCCCACAGGAGCGCAAGCTGCCAGCCCACCACCCCTCCCCAGCCACTTCGGCCCCACACCTGTTTGACAGCGATGCTGACACGCACAGAGTTGATGGAGCCCTCAATGAGCACCTTCTCCTTCTCGTTCCTGCTAATGATCACTGGCTGCAACAGGAGCTCCTTGCTGCTCCTGTGGGAGCAAGAAAAGGTCACAACTGATCAGCAGGGAAGCACTCATGGCTCAGTGTTCGCTGGCATGAGCACTGCAAGGATCCCGGAGATGCAGAGCGTTTCCTTCACTCCCACATCAGGATCCCCCTCCTGCTCTGCAGCTCCCCCAGCACCCGGCTGACAGCAGCGGCTGCAGTGCACGGGGTGAAGGATGGGGACTGCAGGGCAGCTCCGGGGCAGGGAGCTGGGGCAGGGAACACTCCTCCACCACTGGGTCTGTGGATGCAGCTGGGGGGGGGCTGACAGGAACCCTACCTGACCTCCACCTCGGGTTTGTTGTGGCGCTCCACTACCTGCGAGGAGAAGTTCTCCAGGCACAGGGCGGCCTGCAGCGTGGCACGCACCGCGTTCAGGTATGGGCGCAGCGTGGCGGTCTGTGGGGCACAGCACAGCGTCAGCGCCTGGGCCCATCCCCATATCCACCCCATCCCTACTTCTATCCCCACCCCTACCCCTATCCCCGTAACCATGCCCATCCCCACCCCTACTCCCTATCCCCACATCCCTACTCCCTATCCCCATCCCAAACCCCATCCCTACCCCCATGCCCATCCCCACTCCCGCCCAGCTCCTTCTCTCCCAGCCCCAGCCCAGCCCTGCCCGCTTCCCTCAGCCCATTCCCAGCCCATTCCCGCCCGCGCCCCACCATGGTGACGGCTCCGGTCCGGTCCGGGGAAGCGGAACCGGAAGTGGCCGGTCCTCTCTTCCGGGATGCTCGGGAATCCCCAATCCGGCAGGCGGGAGGAGGCGGGAGGTTCCCGCTCCGCACCCCGCTCCCGCTCGGCCGCCTCAAGGCCCCTCCGCGCCGCACCGAACGCTCTGGGCGCTACGCGGCGCACGGCAGTGCAGCCCGTCAAGGAGCGCGGAGGCGGCGCCTCGCGGCGGCAGCGTAGTCCCGCGAGACCCCCCCGTGATCTCGCCGGTCTTGGTGCGCTCCTGTCAGCGCTTCCATATTAGGAAAGGAAGAAGGAGAGCCGGCCGAGCCAATGGGCGGCGTGCGCCGGGCGGGGCTGAGCCAATGGGGAGCGCGGGGCGGGGCGAAGCGGCGCGCGGCCTGCGGGGGCCGGAAGTTGGCGAGCGGCCGTATGTGGAGCTCGGCCCCCCCCGGCGCCGCGCCCCGGGCCTGCCCCCCGCTGGGCTCCGCCCGCCCCCCCCCCCCCCGCACGGCCCGCCGAGCCCTCCGGCCCGCCCCCCGAGCACCCGGGCCCCGCTCCCTTCGCTCTCCGGTTTCCCCCCGGTGCCGCCATGAGCGAGCTGAAGGACTGCCCGTTGCAGTTCCACGACTTCAAGTCGGTGGACCACGTGAAGGTGTGCCCGCGGTACACGGCCGTGCTGGCCCGCTCCGAGGACGATGGCATCGGCATCGAGGAGCTGGACACGCTGCAGCTGGAGCTGGAGACGCTGCTCTCCTCCGCCAGCCGCCGCCTCCGTGTGCTGGAGGCCGAGACACAGGTGTGTTGCCCGTGTCCGCGACCCCCACGTCCCTGTCACCGTCCTGCACACGGGCCCCGACACACTGTTGCTCTTTTCCAGATCCTGACGGACTGGCAGGACAAGAAGGGCGACCGGCGTTTCCTGAAGCTGAGCAAGGACCACGATGTGGGCACCTCTGTCAAGCACGGCAAGCCCAAGAAGCAGAAGCTCGAGGGCAAAGGGGGCCACGGGACGGGGCCTGGGCCTGGTAGACCTAAGTCCAAAAACCTGCAGCCCAAGATCCAGGAGTACGAATTCCAGGATGATCCCATTGATGTGCCACGGATTCCTAAAAACGATGCTCCGAACAGGTGCATGGGGAGTTGGGGGGCATTGGGATTGGCTGTTTCCTTCCTTGCAGTGCGGGAGGGCATGAGCTGCTCCCATAGTGCCCCCCACATCCCCCCCTCACCATTATTCCCCTGCTCTGGCCTCTCAGGTTCTGGGCGTCAGTGGAGCCGTACTGCGCCGATCTCACCAACGAGGAGGTCAGGGTCCTGGAGGAGCTGCTCAAGCCACCAGAGGATGAGGCTGAGCACTACAAGGTGACAAACTGCATAGCCCCCCACCCATGCTCCCTCACCCCATACCCTACCTTGCACTGTCCACCCCTCAGCTCTTGGGCAAGCTGAGTGGTCACACCTCTCTGTGAACATTGCACATGGCCTCTGGGGTGGTGCAACTAAGTGCAACCCCAGTCCTGTGCTGAGCCCCTGGCCCATCCTGTGCTGCAGATCCCACCACTGGGGAAGCACTACTCACAGCGCTGGGCTCAGGAGGACCTGCTCGAGGAGCAGAAGGATGGTGCCCGGGCAGCAGCTGCAGCTGACAAAAAGAAGGGGGTTCTGGGGCCACTGACTGAGCTGGACACCAAAGGTGTAGTCCCATTCCCTAGCAGTAATGGACTGCACTGAAGCTGTGGGGTGAGATCGGGGGGCTGGCATCCAGTTCCCACAGAACCAGGGCTACTCACAACTTTCTCCCTCCCGCATCCCCCCAGATGTCGATGCCTTGCTGAAGAAATCAGAGGCCCAGCATGAGCAGCCTGAGGATGGGTGTCCCTTTGGGCCCCTGACACAGCGTCTCCTGCAGGCCCTGGTGGAGGTGAGGGGGCCAGGTCTGTGCAATGGCCCTGTGAGGCACTGTCACTGCATCAGGGCGAGGTGAACCTTTCCCACATGCTCTGCTTGCCAGGAAAACATCATCTCCCCTGTGGAGGATTCGCCCATTCCTGAGATTGCTGGCAAGGACTCGGGAGCCGACGGTGCTGGCACTTCTCCCCGCAGCCAGAACAAGCCCTTCAGGTGAGCTGCTGTGGTGCCACGAAGCTCGGTGCTGCCCAAATTGGCGCTTCCTCTGCCCAAATTGGGGCAGAACGTGGGCGCTTCAGAAAGCATCCACTCCGCCCCTCTCAGCGTGCCCCACACCAAGTCGCTGGAGGGGCGGATCAAGGAGGAGCTGGTGGCCCAGGGCCTGCTGGAGTCAGAGGACCGTCCCGCCGAGGACTCAGAGGATGAGGTCCTGGCCGAGTTGCGTAAGAGGCAGGCAGAGCTGAAGGCACTCAGCGCCCACAACCGCGCCAAGAAGCACGAGCTGCTGCGGTGAGTGTGGGCAGGGCACGGGGCCAGGTGCAGTGCCGGCGGCATGAAATGATGTCCTCTGTCCCCAGGTTGGCCAAGGAGGAGCTGCACCGGCAAGAGCTGCGGCAGCGTGTCCGCATGGCCGACAACGAGGTGATGGACGCCTTCCGCAAGATCATGGCTGCCCGGCAGAAGAAGCGCACTCCCACCAAGAAGGAGAAGGATCAGGCGTGGAAGACGCTGAAGGAGCGGGAGAGCATCCTCAAGCTGCTGGATGGGTAGCAGGGTGCTCAGGACAGGGCTGCACGTTGCTGCCATCCCCTTATTTCACAGACTCTAGTGGAGGCACCGTGAGGAGGAGGAGGTGCCCCTGTCCCCCACAGGTTCCTGGCACGCCTGTGCTCTGCCTGGGATCGCTGCGGGTTGGGGACAGCGGGTGCACGGTCCTGTGCTGTGACCCAGCGCTGCGACGTTTCACTGGGAGGCTGAGTCCTGCTCCTGGCCCAAGGGCACAGCTCCTGCCCACTGCCACCAAACCGCAGCTGGAGCATGGGGACCCGGTGACAGCGTTCCTGGGAATAGCCGCCCTCTGGTTTCCGCTCCCGCGGTTATTCTGGGCACCGGACCTCTGCCAGGCCTGGGCTGGGAGCTGTCCCGTGCCTCGCTGGCTCTGGGGACAGCCAGGGACACCGGTGTCGGGGGAGGAATGGGGCGGGAGGGGACAGGGCGGGCTTGGGATGTAGCCGCGGGTTCTGTGGCTGAGAGGGCAATAAAGGAGAATTGGCACTGGCGGCGTGCTGTGGAGTCGTGCGCTGCTGGGGGCTGCGGGGACGCAGGGGAGGGGGCCATCCTACCCCAGTGTGCGGCCGTCCCCGTTGCGGGATGTCGCCGCTCCGCCACGCGCTGTGCGCCATCCCCGCGGGCTGCCCCTCGCGCGCCCCCGTCATTCACTGCCCCTCCGCGGCCCGCGGTCGCGCGTGGGCACTCGCCGCCCGCGCCCCCCATTGGCTGAGAGGCGGGCAGGTCCCGCCCCCCGCCGTGACGTCAGCGCTGTCCGGCGGTGCCGCGCCAGGAGGAGTCGCCGCTGCTCCGCGCGGGGCCGGGGCCGCCGCAACCGTCGGTAAGAGCGGGCGGGGCGCGGCGGGGCGGGGTCCACGCGGGGGTAACGGCCGCGCCCACTCGCGGTCGTAGGGTGCGCGACCCCGCGGCTCGGTGCCATGTGCGGGGCTCCCCGCTGCCAGAGCTACGCGGGCCGTGCCCGCGGCGGGGCTGTGTCACGCGTGGAGTGGGCACGGGGGGGCTGCGGCGGCCCGGTATCCCCGCAGCACGGCGTCCCCACGTCCCCGCCACCCGTCCCCTCCGTCAGCCGGGGCTACATCCCGACAGCCCCATCCCGTCGCCTCGCCGTCCCCCGCCCGTGGCCCCACGGATGCGGCATTCCGCTGCCGCTCTGACGCCCGTCCCTGTCCCCCCCAAGGCGCAGCCCGCGGCTGCAGGACCACCATGCCGCTGGGACACCCCGCGGCCGGCTGGAAGAAGAGGACCGAGGACATTCGCCGCATCTACGACTTCCGAGAGGTCCTGGGCACGTGAGTCGCAGGTGGCACCGGGCACGGGACGGGCGGCACCGGCTGCGGGTGGCTGCCATCCCCGTGGCATCTTCTGGCCAACGGCGCTGCGTGGAACTGGGCCAGCTCAAATATTGGCCCAGGGCGGGGGCCCTGCGGGGCGGCACGCACACAGATAGGCCGGGGACGTCGGGACTCGCGGGGGATCGGGCACACGCGGGGCGCGGGGACGCGCAGGGACGTGGCACTGCCCGCACCGCGTTGGCCGCAGTGGTCCCGGTGGGACCCGGTGGCACCGCGTGGCGGGGCCCGGTGCTGCTGAAGCGCGGTAAGGCTCTTAGGGCGGATTACCGGGTTAATTACAGCAGGGCTTAGGACCGGGCTGTCCTCCACCTGCTCCACCTGGGCGCTGCCGCCCCACAGAGCCACGTGTCCCTGGGGTGAACCGCGTGCCCCCCAGCAGTGGCACTGCCTGTGTCCCACGGCCCCGCCGTCCCCTCCCGCTCATCATTCCCCTATAAATAGCCCAACTTTCCGCTCGTCACCATAGCAATAGTGGCATTGCAGTGCCCCCCCGGTTCACACTGCTCCCCCTCTTCCAGGGGGGCTTTCTCTGAGGTGGTGCTGGCAGAGGAGAGGGCAACCCAGAAGCTGGTGGCCATCAAGTGCATCGCCAAGAAGGCGCTGGAGGGGAAGGAGGCCGGCATTGAGAATGAGATTGCCGTCCTGCACAAGTAGGGGGGCTGCTCTGGGATGGGGGCAGGGGGGTCCTGTGATGCTCCCACCCTAGCGTGGCCCCACTGCCAGCACCCAGCACCGGGTGTTATCAGCACGGCCCTAAATAGCCCGGCACATGGTGCTGCTGCTCTCTGCCCTGCTGCCAGCTGGGGGGGCTGATCCCGGCCCTTCTCACCCCACCATGTAGGATCAAGCACCCCAACATTGTGGCCTTGGACGACATCTACGAGAGCAGCAGCCACCTCTACCTCATCATGCAGCTGTGAGTGACACGTTGGGGGGGCTACTGGATAGGGACCGCCCCTGCGAGGAAGGGCTGATAGCGTTGTGTGGCCCTTGAAGGGTGTCGGGAGGGGAACTCTTTGACCGCATCGTAGAGAAGGGTTTCTACACCGAGCGCGATGCCAGCACGCTGATCCGGCAGATCCTGGATGCTGTGCGCTACCTGCACGA